AAACTTCATAAGAACTTTCATAAATATATGTAGTTTAAGAAACATAAAGCCTGTTACTTTTGATAAATTTAGTTTTTTTGCATTAAGATCTATAATATCTTGGAAAATTACATTAGGAAATGGTATTTATAAGAAATTATTACAATATTTATATTTGTTCCAGATTTGAACTTATTAGTTTTATGTTTTAGTACATTATTTTTAAATCCCTAAAAACCTTTTATTGTCCATAAAAGACAAATTTTGTCTATTTTAATTTTTTAATAACACACTCTCCTCATGGTTTCAAGTAATATACAAGACCAAACATAATATTTCTAAGCAAACCTAAACAACAAACAAGTATTTTATATTTTTAAATAGGATTTCACACATATATATGTACATAAAAAAACATTTAAATTTTGTTCCATGAATGTATTTTTATTTCAAGTTTATGTTTCATTGCAGCTGTAATTTAGTTTATTGTGCTGAAAAACTGTAAGGTTAGCAGTGTGGAAAGGAGCAAGAACCAGTATTGCTTGAATCACTTTTGTTTGAGGAGCCTGACTTACCTTCAAGGGAAGAAGACTCTCCTCATGACCACCAACAATCTGAGGTTAGTGATCTTCCCATGACCAGCACTATATCAACTTCCAAAATGGCCAGTGTGAAGAATGGAAATAGGAAGTTCTCAAAGATGAGCAGCCCAGATTGTTGGGGACTTCATCCGAGGAGAGCCTGTTTCCCGTCAAGCAAGTAGGTGTCAGACTCTTATTGATTTTTTCAACTTTTTTTTTCTCTCAGCAGTTACCAAAATTGTTGAAGAAACAAATAGATTTGCACACTGCAAGTGGAACACCTAAACAACAATGTAAGAAAAAAATGGAAACTGCTGAAATATAATGATGTCACTCCTGAAGACATTTTAGCTTTTATTGGTTTAACTATTTCTATGGGCATAACTTGCTTACCATCTATTACAGATTACTGGTCTACCACTCCTTCAGTTCATCTTCCCTGGTTTTCTTCAATATTTTTCACATAAAAATTCCTATCTATTGCTCACTTCTTTTATTTCAATGACAATACTAATAGTCTACCTAAAACTGATCCTGAGCATGATAAACTCTTCAAAGTCAGACCTGTGCTTGATCATCTACTCACAGCTTCTCCAGTTCACTATAACCCTTCTAGGGAACCTTTTATTGATGAGTAAATATTGGGAACAAAAGGCAGAATTTATTTTAAGCAATATCTATCTAGCAAGCCTACCAAGTGGGGAATCAAGCTTTGGGTTCCAGCAGAAGCCGTGACTGGATGCTGTTTAAATTTTAGAATATATAAATAGGGATCTGTACCTTCCAAGGGCTTAGCTAGCACAGACGTATTGACTCTGATGGAAAAGTACCTTGGAAGGGGACACTCTCTTTTTACTGATAACTTTTATAGTTTCCCAACTCTGTTTGATAAGTTGCTTTCACTTGGTACTTATGCTTGTGGCACTTGTAGGAAGGACAGGGCCCACTTCACAGACATGTTTCCAGGTAAGTTAAAAAGGGGAGAGTCATAGTTTTTCAACTGTGACTCAATGACTGCTCTGAAGTGGACTGATAAAAGAGATGTTTAT